CAGGACCAGACAGATTCACAGTTGAATTCTAACAGAGGTGCAAAGAAGAGCTAGTACCATTTCTACTGAAACTATTAAAACATGTTGCAAAAGGAGGGACTCTTCTCTAACTTATTTTATGAAGCCGGCATCATCCTGATACCAAAATCTGGCAGAAATACAACAACAACAACAAAAATTTTAGGCCAATATCATTAATGAACATCAATGCAAAAATCCTCAACAAAATATTGGCAAACTGAATCCAACAGCACATCAAAAAGCTTATCCACCACACAATCAAGTAGGTTTCATCCCCATGATGCAAGGTTGGTTCAATATATACAAATCATTAAATGTGATTCATCACATAAACAGAACTAAAGACAACCACCACATGATTACCTCAATAGATGCAGAAAAGGCCTTCAATAGAATTCAACATTCCTTCATTTTAAAAGCACTCAATAAACTAGGTATTGAAGGAGCATACTTCAAAATGATGAGTCATATATGACAAACTCACAGCTAACATTATACTGAATGGGGAAAAGCTGGAAGCATTCCCCTTGAAAACTCACACAAGACAAGGATGTCCACTCTCACCATTACTATTGAGCATAGTATTAAAAGTTCTGGCCAGGGCAGTCAGGCAAGAGAAAGATATAAAGGATATTCACATAGGAGAGAGGAAGTCAAATCATCTTTGTTTACAGATGATATGATACTATGTCTAAAAACCTTATGGTCTCAACCCAAAAGCATCTTAGACTGATACACAACTTTAGAAAAGTTTCAGGATACAATCAATGTGAAAAAATTGCTAGCTGTCCTATACACTCACAACAGGCAGGCCGAGAGCCAAATCTTGAATGAACTCCCATTCACAATTGCCACAAAAAAAGTAAAATACCTAGAAATACAACTAACAAGCAAAGTGAAGGACCTCTTTATGAAGAGTTACAAACCACTGCTCAAAGAAATCAAAGATGACCTAAAACAGGTGGAAAAACATTCCATGCTTATGGACAGGAAGAATCATTATTATTAAAATAGCCGTACAAATTTATAGGTCAATGCTATTCCCATTAAATTACCATTGATATTCTCACAGAATTAGAAAAAACTATTTTTAAATTCATGTGGAACCAAAAAGAGATGTGTTATGGTTTGGCAATGTTCCCACCCAAGTCTCATCTTGAATTGTAGCTCCCATAATTCTCACATGTTGTGGGAGGGGTCTGGTGGGAAATAATTGAATCATGAGGTGGTTTCCTCCATACTGTTCTCTTGGTAGCCATGAAATCTCACCAGATCTGATGATTTTATGACCAGAAACCCCTTTCACTTGGTTCTCATTCTGTCTTACATGCCACCAGGTAAGACATGCCTTTTGCCTTCTGCCATAATTGTGAGGCCTCCTCAGTCACATGGAACTGTGAGTCCATTAATCCTCTTTTTCTTTATAAATTACCCAGACTTGGGTATGTCTTTATTCTCAATACAGGCCCAAATAGCCACGACAATCTTAAGCAAAATGAACACAGCTGGAGGCATCATGCTACCTGACTTCAAACTACACTACAAGGGTATAGTAACCAAAACAGCATGGTACTGGTAAAGAAACAGACACATAGACCAATGGAACAGAATAGAGAACTCAACTCTGAAATAAGACACACACCTACAACCATCTGATCTTCAACAAATCTGACAAAAACAAGCAATGGGGAAAGGATTCCGTATTTAGTAAATGGTGCTGGGAGAACTGGGTAACCATATGCAGAAAATCGAAACTGCACCCCTTCCTTACACCTTATACAAAAATTAACTCAAAATGGATGAAAGACTTAAGTGTAAAACCCAAAACTGTAAAAACCCTAGGAGAAACTCTACACAATACCATTGTGAACACTAGCACAGGCAAATATTTGATGACTAAAACACCGAAAGCAATGCAGCAGAAACAAAAGTTGACAAGTGAGATCTAACTAAACTAAAGAGCTTTATCCAGCCTATCATTGATGGGCATTGGGTTGGTTCCAAGTCTTTGCTATTGTAAACAGTGCCACAATGAACATACATGTGCATGTGTCTTTATAATAGAATGATTTATAATCCTTTGGGTATATACCCAGTAATGGGATTGCTGGGTCAAATGGTATTTCTATTTCTAGGTCCTTGATGAATCACCACACTGTCTTCCACAATGGTTGCACTAATTTACACTCCCATCAACAGTGTAAAAGCATTCCTATTTCTCCACATCCTCTCCAGCATCTGTTGTCTTCAGACTTTTTAATGATTGCGATTCTAACTGGTGTGAGATGGTATCTCAATGTCAGCAAAGGGCTTTCTCACCTTAATAGAAAAGACAAACCAATAACTTCCAGACCTAGTACCTGGTGTAAGTCCTTGATGGACTTAAACTAATTTTCATGTTGCCATCACAACTTTAGAGTCTGTCTCTGGCCCACGTAAGTCTGTCTCTGAGAGTCTGTCTCTGGTGTAAGGTATTTGTTTGATGAAATCCAACATAAAAATAATATGGCTTGAAACTGATAATAAGGCTCCTGGATTATATTTCTCTCTTTTTTGAGGCTATCAAGGTTGGCTTTTAACAAATTCTAAAAATTGAATGAATAGAGATTATTTTTATGAACAAAAATTAAAATACATTTTAAACCCAGATATAAAAGGTCTTAAGGGATAATTCTATTAAATCAGACAGTTTGGATATATTTTCTTCTGGTACCCCTTTCTAGGATAATTATTTGTGATTATGAATAATTCTATTTTTTATCCAAAATTAGTTATTTTTTTTTAGTAGTTGATGTAATTATCATTTATAAATACCGGTAGAACCAAGGGCATTTTCTCACGCCATGAAATAGATTTTTATTTTTTCAAACTTGAGAACAGACTGAAGTTTGCTAGTGAAACTGCTTTGGTAAATACCATCAGGTCTGATGACAGATTATTTTCAATAATCCCAGGCAATTTTATTCCACTGCTGTTATGTTTAGATGATTGCAAATTAAAATGATAAAATGTCTTTATCTCTTTCCTGCAGCTGTTTTAGCAATCCTATAAAATGAGTTTATACTGTGAGATGTAGCTGTCTAGAAATATATAAAGATAGGTGTCATTGTTCCTTAAGTATTCCACTAGTCAGCATACTGTGTTGACAATCTAAGGGTCCATTTCTAAAGAAAATGTTTTCGTGTCTGTTTTTCAATTATTTAAAAAGGTACATTCATTCCTTTGCTTGGTGTCACGGTCATCACACCATATATATTATGGTAAATTACTATAATAGGAGCACTTGGCTTGTCTCATTAGAGTAAAAGGAAAAAACAGATTGGATGGAAATAATAAAAAAATAATCATTCTTTCTCCTCTCTAGTGCGTATGCCCTTACTGCCATCAGGGGAGGTTATTAACCTTTCTCCCATTGTAAATGTTTCCAGAAGGCAGAACTGAATTGAAGAAGCTGTGCAGTCAAACAAGCTTTCTCTCATTCTATGGAAGTTAAATATTTCTTTCCTAGACAATTTAAATGGGAGCATTTAAATACAAGTTTGGATTTAGTTTTGTTCTCTTCAACACACTTGTATGTGCAGTTTATTTTCATTTATGTATGTGTTGTTTTATGCTTAGGAACCTTATATCCTTCTTTTCTGAGATCTTTTGTACTAAACTGGTAGTTTCATTTTTTTATTTTTTATTTTTTCTTTTGATTCTGGGGTACATATGCAGATCATGCAGGATTGTTGCATAGGTATATACATGGCAAGGTGGTTTGCTGCCTTTATCCCCCCATCACCTATATCTGGTATTTCTCCCGTTATCCCTCCCCATCCCCCACTGCCCCTCCCATAGGCCCCCGACAACTGACTGCAGTGTGTGATGCTCCCCTCCCTGTGTCCAGGTGTTCTAATTTTTCAACACCCACTTATGAGTGAGAACATGAGGTGTTTGGTTTTCTGTTCTTGTGTCAGTTTGCTGAGAATGATGGTTTCTAGATTCATCCATGTCCCTATGAAGGACATGAACTCATGGTTCTTTATGGCTGCATAGTATTCCATGGTGTATATGTGCCACATTTTCTTTATCCAGTCTATCATTGATAGACATTTGGGTGGTTTCATTTTTTAAAAAAATATTTGATTGAATTCTTTCTTGAAGTACCATGCTTGGCCCTGTGGCTTGAGCAAGTAGCATTGAGCCTACCAGGAATGAATTTCATAGATCCACTGAACATCTACCACCTCTCTTTGGTCTATTTGTAGGCACAGCTCTTTTTCTACAAACTACACTCCAGCGTTTTCATTATTCACTTTTTCATAAGTAAGATTCTTGGAACATGTTCATCTTAAGTGGCTCTTGGCCAGTTACGTAGTATTGTTGCACATTCTGGTTCAGTGTTCCATCTTATTTCTTATCACTCTTCTCTAAGTATCTTGGTTGATATTAGACAATTATTTGTAAATATATTCAATGTTCTCATTATTGTGTAAAATGGTATTGTTATCCATCCAATTTGGAGTATGTACATGGATTCTGACTAGGCTATTTTTGAAAAGGGAGTCAGTGTGAGGTTGCATTCAGTTAACTTCCTCTAGGCTTCCAAAGGAGATGAAGCAAATGAAGTGATGCCTCAACAAAAAGATAAATGTATGCTCTGCACAACCAGGACCTGAAACTGGAGCCATGGAAACCAACCAATATTAAAGTATTGATCTTTTAGCCAAACAAAAAGATCTCAGTTTGAGACCCTAGTAGCCACATGTAATGGTCTGTTTGGTCAGTGGTCTCTTAATTCTTCTAAACTGTTTCCTTATCTGTACAGTGAGAAAAAATAGAACAGTCTTACAGTGAAGATGTTGTAAAAAGTAATATACAAAAAATTTTAGCAAACTGAATGATCTGTACTATATACTTTAAAATGTAAGTTTCTTCTACAGATATCATTAATACCTCTACTACCATTATTGATACCATAATGATAAAAAACTTACCTTTGATTGCCGCGCATTTTTTAAGGTTTTTCTTCCATTTGTGACACTGAGCTACAACTTGAGATTCAAAATCATCAAAAGCATACTCACTATAAGAAGAAGGAAAGCAGGTGGTTTTATTTTTAATATAAATATACTTATGATGATGCCAAAGAAATCCTCATCAATTCAGTGTCACAAGAATATAGCAGGGAAATCAAATATTTTATGATACAAATACAAACTATTCAGGCCTGGGACTGATTTTTCAAGGAATGTATTCACCCTTGATGTTGCCAAACCAACTAGGTACTGTGATAGGCACTGCCAGGACAATAATCCATGATGGAGTGATTCTAAGAGTCCCACATATGAAAAATTTTTAGAACATGATGAAAACCCAGAGTAACAGCTCCTCTCTCTCATTTTTCTTCTGAATCTATTAAAGGAAGTGAATCTGGGCAGAATTAGAGCTTTTCTAAGATGTCTACAAAATGTCAATGATAAATTGTCTTTATTTCCCTCAATGGGCATTTATTCATCTATTTGCTCATTTATTCATTCATAAACTCATTTCATGGGTTTATATTAAGTGCATAGCATTTTGCTGGACTTTGAGAGTATTCTGATTGTGTGGCAACTCAGGCTTTTCCTTTGTGGAACTTACACACTGGTAGAGAAGACAGACATTGAACTTTTAATGAAAGTGTAATAAGTGAAATAAAAGGACAAGTAAAGGATATAATAGATGCAAGTAGAAGGGGACATTTAACTTGGCAGGAGCAGTAGAAAAGAAAATGAAAGGTATATTTTGGAATAATTATATAAGTAGGTTAAGTGGAATCAAATGGAGGGTGAGTTAGCCATCATGGTAATTTTTTAGAAAGAGAGGACAAGTTTAATTTGTAAGTAAGCAAAGCTCATCATATTGCTGAGAAAATGTGTTTGAAAAACAGTGTAATAAAAGTTATTACAAATAGGATGTAATTTATATGGTAGCTGGTGGAAAGCCACAAGGGGGTTTGAATGACATTAGTACAAATACAGCTTAAGTTTTAAGATGTTCTGTTATTTCATAAAACAGTATGTGGATTTTTGATGGGGAGAAATTAGAAAAAGGATAACTTACTTAGGAATTAACTAAGATAGATCAGGTAAAGATGCTTTTGGCTGAAGTCAGAGCCCTGAAACATGGACTTCATTGATTAAGAGATTTCGTTATTCATCAATCAGGGATTATTTGACACAGGCATGGAGACATTTAAATTAGGTCTTCTATTTTCAGCAATATTCAATGAATCTTAGACGTGGTCTTTTGTTCCCATTTTTTTAACTAGCATCTGGTTGCATAAAGATCTAGATTAATTTTCTGACCTTTACAACTGCAAGATCTATGTAGAAAATAAGTCAGGGAGCATCATTCCTTATATAGGAGTATAGACTGATAGGAACAGCACTCCTGGAGATTGGCTGCACATTGGAATCACCTGTGATGTCTGAGTCTCACGCAAGAGGATTTAACTGATTAGGTATGGGATTCAGCTTGGCTATGAGGATTTTCTTGAAAAAAACAAACCTTGGGTATTTCCCCAGACAAATGACACAGCTTTACCTTGACTCTCTTGCGTGGGTACAATCTCCTTTTATCATACCATGCATTTTACTGTAGTTACAAACATCATGGGTATGTTATAGTTTCACGTATTTTATATTTATTTTCCAACTAAGCAGAAATCAACAGCAAGGAACCTGCCATTGGGGTCTTTAATAAAGGCTTAATAAAATAATTATTGAATCAGTGAGATAATTACACATGTGAGTAAATATGAGTCTGTCCTTCTTACTTGTTGTTTTATAACAAATTACCCTAAAACTTAGTGCTTTAAAGCAGTAACCATTTTATGACCTCTTGTGGTTCTGAATGTTAACTGGGTTCACCTGAGTGTTTCTTCTATTCCATGCAATGTGAACCGGGACTACAGCCATCTGAAGTCTCCATTAGTTTGGAATATTTAAGATGGATCATGTACATGTCTGATGCTTGGGAGGGGAGAGAGGAAGACCGGTTTGGTTGGCATGGCAGGGCTGCTCAAGCCTCTCTTGCCATGTAGTCTCAAGTTCTTTCTCTTTTCATGTGGCATCTGCACCTAGTTTCTCCAGCAAGTTTCTTAAAACACCTCAGGGTTTTCAACACAAGCATTCCAAAAGAGGAAGTGAAAACTGCCAGGTTTTTTAAAGTATGGGTGGAAAGCCAGTACTTGTCACCAATATTTCATTGGTCAAAGCAGTCACAGGTCCATTCCAGAATCAGTGAGAAAGAAAGTAAAAACAAAAATAAAAATACAGACCTCCCCACCTTATGAGAGAGTCACAAAGAAGTTGAGAGCATTTCTAATTTCTAATTAATCACAGAATGTCCAATATGTTTCACATTTCTATGTTTGTATTATCTTTAGATGCCCACGGCATCTTTTCATTTTTATTTTATTGTGGTTAGAACACTTAACATGAAATCTACCCTTCTAACAGATTTAAGTTTATAATATGGTATTGTTAACTATAGGCACAATGTGGTAGAGTAGATTTCCAGAACTTATTTATCTTTTATACTGAAACTTTGTACAGATTAGCATCTCCTCATGTTCTTCTTCCCCCTGCCCTTGGCATACACCTTTCTACTTTTTGCTTCCATGAGTTTGACCATTTTAGATACCTCATATAGGTGGAGTTACACAGTATTTGTTCTTCTGTATCTAGCTTATTTCACTTAGCTTAATGTCCTCCATATCCATTCATGATATTGCATATTATAGAATGTTTTTCTTTTATAAGGCTGAATAATATTCCATTGCATGTACATACTATATTTTCTTTATCCATTAATCTGTTCATGAACATATTATTGTTTTAATATATTGGCTATTGTTAATAATTATAATTCTACAATGAACATGGGAGTGTATTTATCTATTTGATATCCTGGTTTCAATTATTTCGTATACTCAGAAACTGGATGGCTAGATCATGTGGTCATTCTAATTTTTTTTTTGTTTTGAGGAGACTTTGTAGTGTTTTCCTTAACAGCTTTACCATTTTGCACTCCCACAAATGCTGTACAAGGATTTCAGTTTCTCCACATCCTTGCCAACATGTGGCAAAAGAAACAATCAGCAGGATGAAAAGGCAGTTCACATAATGGGAGAAAATTATGGCAAACCGTATATCTGATAAAAAGTTAATTTCAAAAATATATAAGAAACTCCTACTAATCAATGTCCAAAAATGCAGTAACCTGATTTTAAAAATGGGCTAAGGATTTAAGTAGACATTTCTCTAAAAAAGACATATAAGTGGCCAGCAGGTTTATGAAAAGATGCTGATTGTCACTAATAATTAGGGAAAGGCAAATCAAAACCACAATGAGATAGCACCTTGCACCTGTTAGAATGGCTGTTCTCACATAAGCAACGGCAGGTGTTGGCAAAGATGTGGAAATATTGGATCTCTATTTTCATCGAAACATCCCAAATCTGACTCAGAGTCCCCATTTTGCCAGGAAATGTTAACATCAACCTTTCTTGAAGGTCCCTCTATCAGGGTTCAGTGCAGTGCTAAGGCCCTGAGGGTGCTGTTTGATCAGCAGCCAAGCAGTTCTCACTGTTCAAAGAGATCACCCATTATGGCAACAATCCTGGACCCTTTGTGGGGCAGTTGTTTTTTAACTTGTTTACCATGGAGTATGAGGTACTATGTATTAATAAAAATGCTTGTGCCTGGAGTTTGCTTCCCTCAAAATTACTCATTCATTCTATTTTGAGGTTTTCCTGTTTCGTTGATTTTCCTAAAATAGAAGGATTTATTTCTGCCTTGTGATAGAAGTAATAGAAATCTCTATCTCCTCATCAAAATAATCATCACCTCTTCTTTTATTTGCTTTAGGACTGGGACTAGGTTTCTTGTATTGTAATAGGGCTCCTTTGCCTAGTTAAGTCTCCTCCTGTATGTGACCCTCTGTTTAACTTTTTATTTTGATATAACTTCAGAAAATTTTCAAGACTAGTACAAAGAATTCTCAGACTCCTTTCATTAAATTTTTCTAAATGTTATGACTTTCTCTGTCTTTATCTGTTTCTATCTTTATATCTGTGTTATACAATTCACATTACTTTACGTGGAATAGTCATGTCTCTATGCGGTACAGTTCACTGAGTTTTTCCAAAAAACAAGAACGTTTTCTTACATAACCACACTATAATAATGAAAACTGGGGCTGGGTGTGGTGTCTCATACTGGTAATCCCAGCACTTTGGGAGGCCAAGGCAGGCAGATCACCTGAGGTCTGGAGTTTGAGAGCAGCCCGACCAGTACGGAGAAACCCCGCCTCTACTAAAAAATAAAAATAAAATAAAAAATAAAAAAAAAATATTAGCTGGGCATTGTGGTGCATGCCTGTATTCCCAGATACTCGGGAGGCTGAGACGGGAGAATGGCTTGCACTTGGGAGGTGGAGATTGGCGTGAGCCAAGATTGCCCCATTGTACTCCAGCCTGGGCAACAAAAGAGAAACTCCATCTCAAAAAAAATAAAAATTAAAACTGGGAAATTCATTGATACATACTTAGAGTGTTTCAACTTTCCCAATATTATTCTTTATCGTGAAGGAAGTTTCCAAATCGTGCATTGCATTCAGGTATCCTGTCTCTTTAGTCTCTCTTATTCTGACACAGTTCTTCAGTATTTCTATGTCTTTAAAGTCATTTACATATTTGAGGAGTACTAGCTTAATATTTTGTAGAATGACTGTTAATTTAGGTTTGTCTGATGTTTCCTCATGAGTGAATTAATGTTATTCAATATTGATGGGAATATCCACAGAAGAATTGTGCTCTCAGTTTAGCATATTGGGAAGAATTATTGATGTTATCTCTGATCAATTGGGGTTTCAGCATTATAAAGTTATTATTTTATTTTGTAATTAATAAATATCTTGTAGAATTAATATTTTGAGAACAGACAATTATCTATTCCTCATTGCACTTTAACTTTATAAGACCTATTGATATTTTGACTCTGCATCAATTTTTATCATGATAGTTGACAAGTGGTGATTC